GGAGCTGCTGGCCTACCGCTGCCTCGATCAGTTATTTTATTGGTGTAATTGTGTGACTTTGGTGTTTAAAGTGGCTAGTCCGGATTTACCAAAGTCCCACAATAACAAACTAACTAACTGATCAAGGAAGCAGTAGACCAGCAGCTTCTGTGTTCAGTGAGCTAAAATTACTGTTTTTCTAAATGCAGTCTGGTGGCTTTGAAAAGAGCATAGATGTGGAACTGGAACTCTTAATGGTTTTCCCTTTGTAACAGGCTGTCTGATGGAAAGATAAAGCAGTGAAAATACTCTACACTTAATCTGTTGTATATTTTTTTTATTGGCCAAAATATGTTTTGTTAATGATCCTGTCCATAGCAGTACATTGATTAGTTTTTGTGTCAGACTCCAGTGTGCTTCTCCAAACTGGGGGCGTGCCGACTGACATCTACTGTAGGTAATACACTGACTATGAATAAGTGCCCCATTCAACCCCACTGAACTATAAAATGTGTTATGAAAAAGTTTCCAAGCTTACAGACCAGGAGATCTTAATTTAAGACTGAGTTTAACTGACTTAGTTAAACTGAGTTATTTTAGGTGCTACCAAAAATAGGCTGATATCACAAATTTTTCACGTTTTCCTACACCTGTAAGGAGGCAGGTTGGGGTAGTGGATGGGTCACAAAAAAACAGACTGTCATCTAGAGTGGCGTATTTGGATCCATGTAAACTTTGAGTGAACTTTGAGTCATTTTAAAGTATGTCCTTGCCATGTTCTTTTCCTAAACCTAACCTCAGTAACTTTTATTGCCTAAACCTAACCTCCGTAACTTTACGTTAATTACGTACAGTAACGTCATTCATGAGGCGCAAATTCTTAGGATATCATATGAACTGTTGTGTGTGCATTTTTTGTAGGATATCATATGAACTGTTCTATGAGAATATGTTGTAATAAAGGATGCACCTGTAGGCTGCTGACATAAACAATGAGCTGTAGCAGAAAATAATGCCTTTTAGTATATGGATGGTTGAATTATAACAAGATAACTTGGTTCAAAAGAGAAACAAATTTAGGGTCTTCCTTATATAAGATGCATGTTGTAAAATCGCAATGTTTCAGGTTTAATTGAGCTGAGACCAAAGTGCTTTACAAGTAAAAGGAAAAACAGACAACAACTCAGTACTTACTCTCATCTGTGTCATATCCAGCTATGGCAAGCAGCTGTTTTCAGTGAAAAGGCTTACACTACCTGCCCAGCTCCAAACAGCAAAGTTAGCAACAAGCTGGTAAATGTGTTGAAAAAATATTTCTCTGAAAACTAAAATGGAACTCCAACGTTAAAGTTAAAAGTCAAAATCTTATGCAAATAAAAATTTGAATCCATGCATGGGACAAATACACAAAGAGGAAATAATCAGGGGTCCGTTTTAGAAAGGAGGTTCAACAAACTCTGAGCCTAACTCTGAACTCTGAGTTGAGTAACTCTGAGATGGGAAACTCTGGGTTACGGGTTTCAGAACAGGTGATTTCAATCGGTTCAATCAACACAGAGTTTGTTCACTCTGAGTTAAGCGCGTGCACCACGACTTTAAAAAGCCGTCATCAACGGAGCCCCAATACCACGATTCACCATGGCAACAAGCGACAAGAAAAGGTCTGCATTTTTTTACTCCTCTGGAGTTGGATATTTTTATGCGCTCATACAGCGAATTTGAAGCTGTTTTCAGGAAGAAGAGTAACACGGCTGCAGCAGCGAAGGAACGGGAGTCGGCGTGGGAGAAAATTACTGCTCGAGTCAATGCGTAAGTTTAAATTTATTTCATACATTTATGCAATCACAATAATATTTGGCTAGTTACAGAGGCAAACAGGTGGAATGGTGTTAAAGCTAAAATTTAGTTCACTTAGATGCAATCCCACCTCATTATTTTTCAAGTGAAAATGTGCTTGAAACAAGTGGAAATTGTCCAAAAACAAGTTACTTTTAGGTGTGATTTGTTTTGACTAAAAATGAGACATTTTGACTAGAAATAAGACAAATATTCTTGGTATGATTTTGAGTTTTTGCAGTGTGATGCAGTCTGACATTTTGAGACAGTCAATCTACCTGCACATTAATGCTGTGAATGGACTTCCTATTCACATAGTCTCCTTCATTTTGTGAAGGAGCAATGATGGGAATGTGGGTTCCATCAATGCACCCTATCACACCGGGAAATCCTAAAAGAAATTAAAATGACTAATCCCCGTCTGAGGTTGCAGCACCATGTCATTAACTGAATATGATTTATAATCATAAATTTTAACTAATTTCTACATCATTCACCTGCAATCCTGTGGAACTCCTCTTTGATGAGCCTCACAGGTTTATGTCCAGGGAACACAATAAAAGAGTTTAATAGACGTTTCAGAGCTAGGGACACTTTTCTCACGGCTTTGCAGACAGTGGCCTTACTGATATTTTCTGCATCTCCGATATTATACAGAAAACTCCCATTTGCAAAAAACTGAAGAGCAACACAAAGAATCTGGGTAGATGAAAGTGCACTTCCACGGTTGGTGATGTTGGTTATGTCACGACGGATGAGGTTATGGATATAGGCTAAATGATGGACTGTGATGTGAAACGGTACCGTTCAAAAAGAACGGTATCGTTCAAACGGGCTGGAGTTACTCCGCTTTCTCTGGTTTAAGTTACCTCCCTTTCTGAAATGGAAAACCCAGAGTTTCCCTCATTTCAGGGTTAACAGACTCAGAGTTTTCACTAAACCTGCTTTGTGAAACGGACCCCAGTTCTCCTTAATTTTGGCACGAGACCAACAGTTTGCTGATGAGATCCTGATGATGCACCAGCGCTTGTGTATGTGTGTGTTTAAGTGAGAGAATATATTTGCATGTTAACCTTCATGAATGTTTTTTCCAAGAGGTGTCAACTGAGGACAGGGGCACAGCTGTTTTTATTAATGAGCTCTCACTTGTCAACACACACAACCACATATACAAACAAACATGGAGTGTGTCTGCCTGTCTGAACCTCTCTACTGTGCCTGTGGATACTAACGAGGTGCAGACTGATGAAGGTCTGCGGGGAGGCAACAGGCACAACAAAGGTGGGACACTGGAACACTGAAACAAATGTCTGTGTGTGTGGAGAGAGAGAGGGAGGGAGAGTGTTGAGGTCATTAGAGTGGGAATTAAAGTATCAAAGATAAAAGAGGCAGAGATATGAAGCACAAGTGCTGCACTACTATCTACAACTAGAAATCTAGTCTGTTGCATGCCAGGCCACATCCTTATCAATTAGGTAACAACAGGTTTCTCTCATTAGGTTTAGAGTACAAAACATCTGCTGTGAAATCACTGATTAAGGTGTAACCTGAGGTCAGTGTTCACAGGTACCATGAAGGTGGTTATCAACCGGTAACCCAAGCTTTCCTCTTCAGGCTCTGTGGGCGTTCAGAGAAAAGGTCACATTTGGCATGTCATCTGATTCATTTCTTGACATAAAGAATCAACTCTGTACTGTGCCTATGAACAGTATGAAAACAATATTTGTGTGAGAAAAGCTAGAATATCTATCTTTCTATCTATCCATCCATCCATCCATCCAGCCATACATACATACATACCTACATACAGATATATATTTGAAATGTACAGATCCAATTCCAAAAAAGTTGGGATGCTGTATAAAATGTAGATAAAATTGGAATGCAATGATTTCTTTTATGACCTATATTCAATTACATACAGTACAAATGTCCTTTACTCATATGAATCGAGGGACAACAGCAACATTTAACAAAGGTAACATTATAAAATTCAGCTCCATTACAACTCACAGGGTTCACTGACAAAACAATTGCCTTATACTAAACATGTTTTCCGAATAAATACAACAAGATGAGGTTGTTAGCACAAGCCTATGGCATTTTACATTGTATAAATTAGCCTAGCGACTAGAAGAGATTTCCTCTACTCATATGAAGCCAAGATAAATCACACACGAGACTTATAATACTATTTTGTGGGGGCTTTATTGTTTTACAAGTTACTGTTTCTTATCTGCGAAATAAAAGTAAATTAACCTTTTGTTTCCACTGAGGGAAATCATTTTCAGCTCACAAAAATATACAGGAGCTCTGCGTCATTGCGACATGTAGTTACATTTCTGGGGTGGTGCATGTCAGGCTATGGCGTTGGCTCTGTGTCGACATAGAGTCTATGCTGTAGGTATGGTGTGGATTCGACAGAGGTATAAATCCTGCCAAAGACATCATGTTCATGAGAATGAGATGGATGCAAGGTGACAGTGGCCTTTGACTTGTGACCACCAAATTCTAATCAGCTCACCCCCAAGTCAAAGTGGACATTTGTGCCAACTTTGAAGAAATTCCCTTAAGGCATTCTTGTGATATCCGCTCACGAGAATGAGACAGACAAGCTCACAATGACCTTGACCTTTGACCACCAAAAACTAATAAGTGCATCACTGAGTCCAAGTGAACGTTGCCAAATTGGAAGAAATTCCCTAAAGGCATTCATGAGATATCACATTCACAAGAATGGGACAGACCGACAACCTGAAAACATAATGCTTCCTGCCACAGCTATCACTGGCATGGAAGCATATAAATGCACAAGTTCTAAATATGGAGGGGGATGTGTCCCCTGCTTCCTGCTTGAAATCATCACCAATGGTGCCACTGATTATACAATAAGCAGCCCAGCAGACATGAAAGAATAATCTGACAAAACCAAATGATCCTTGATATTCATACAACACTGATTATCTTGTTCACTGGTTCTCTCTTGTCTTTCATGCTGTATAAGGATGAATACCATTATATGGCTTATGATGGAGGAGAAAAACAAGTTGCCATATGTCCTACAGAAACTGACTACAGCAACCAACACAAAAGAAGAGAAAGGAAACTGTAAACAAGAGAAAACCAAAACTTGCAGTTCAACTAACACATACAGATAAATAAGAGAGACATATGGCACTGTTTACCCTTTTTTGCACCGGCCAGGGCTTAGTGATGGCTGAGATGTCACATGCAGTCATCAGCATTGACCTGAAGGGGGATACACATTGACACACATTAATGTTAAAAGAGCTACATCTGGATTATTTGTCAATATTAGCTCCTCATAGCACATAAAGCCACATATTGAGCATTGTATTAGATCAGGCAGGACACGTTGTCAAGCTCAGCTCACATCCCAGCTACATCAGCTGATCTCAAACAGACCAATCTGGAAGGACAGAGAGGTGTGCTTTCTCTGCCTTAAGGCTTTCAATGTAGGGGCATGGAAGGGCAGAGAGATGTGCTCTCTCTCTCTTAGCCTTTCTGCGTAGACTGAGGAAAAGCAGAGAGGCCTCAGAACAGAGCCATACCGCCAAATATTATACTGCAATGAGGGAATTTATGTGCTAATGGTCAAGCATGGGTATAGTCTGTGTGTTTAATATCACTAACAACATGTTAGAAACAAAAACTAATCTCTGTGTGAAGGAACTTCTGGGAAAGTAAAGCTGCATTTGACGTACAAACATTTAAAATTAAAATTTTTATCAATAATGCTTTACTTTCTGAATTATTTACTGCTTAATAAAGAACAGATGATTTGTATAAAAGAACTACTGAAAGTAATTTCACAGCATACAGATGGAGACAATCGGAGACCTGTTTGAAGCAGAAACAATTACGTCTTTTCAGCAACTTCAGATTAAATATGGAATTTCCTTCACATTCTTTTTTGCATATTTACAGATCAGACATTTTATAAATCTCTGCCTGCAAGTTTCCCGATGATAAGTACGTTAGGAGCACTCTTGATGACCTTCTTCTCATTCCAAATATTACAAAAAAGTTTATTTCCATTTTTTATCAGAAGCTACAGTCCTTGGACAAATATAACATTGATAAAATTATTAGTACATGGGAGAAGGACCTAGGAATCCAATCTAGCCAGGAAGAGTGTTCTAAGATATTTTCATTGTCAATTAAAATATTCTTATGTAATTGGTTAAATGAGAGCCAATACCGAATATTTCACAGGCTATAATGTACACCCCAGTTTCTCAATAAATGCAACTCCAATATATCTCCCATGTGTAAAAAATGTAAGAAAGAGTTGGGAACTTATTTTCACTTAATATGGAAATGCCCTTTTATTGCACGTTTTTGGAAAAATATTAAAAAAAGAGCTTTGTACAATCTTGGGCATGGACATTAAAAGGGAACCTGCATTGTTTCTGTTGGGATTCTCTCTAGAAGGTCTTGATCTTAACCCCTCTCAGCACACTTATAACAAAACTCCTGTTACTAGCTAGACGATGTATTTTGTTCCATTATTTTGTTACTACTGAGGGGTGGATTAACTTTCAGAATGAATTCCAATTGATAGTTATTCCCTTCTTTTTTGTAATTTTATTTTAAAAATGTATCTTCTCATCAACCCCCTTTTCCTTGAAAACTTGTGACCTCACACAGGAATGGAGTAAATTTTCCTTTTGTGCTGTGCTTGTCCTGTGATGTATATTGTCGATGCTGCCATTTTGCTATGATTTGTGATTCAGGAGCTGTCATGCTTGTTTGTTTGTTTGTTTGTTTGTTTGTTTGTTTTTCTTTCTGTTGTCCTGTTTTGTTTTTCTGTTTCCTTTTGCATTCTGAAAATTAAAATCAATAAAATATATATTAAAAAAAAAAAAAAAAGTCTCCAAAAGTAGATCAGGAGCCAGAGCCTTCAGCTATCGGGCTCCTCTTCTGTGGAATCATCTTCCTGTTTCGGTCCAGGAAGCAGACACTGTCTCCACATTAAAGACTAGACTTAAGACTTTCCTTTTTGATAAAGCTTAAAGTTAGGGCTGGCTCAGGCTTGCCTTGTACCAGCCCCTAGTTAGGCTGACATAGGCCTAGTGAGCCAGGGGACCTCCTATAATACACAGAGCACCTTCTCTCCTTCTCTCTCTCTCTCCTTTGCTAACATTCATGTCCTGTTACTGCATCACACTAACTCGGCTCTACTGCATGTCACTAACTCTGCTTCTTCTCCGGAGCCTTTGTGCTCCATTGTCTCGCAGGTTAACTCATATCGCAGTGGTGCCTGGATGGTGTGACGTGTGTGGCTCTGCTGCTGCCGTGGTCCTGCCTGATGCCTTTTACTGCTGCTGTTATCATTAGTCATACTTCTACTATTATTATGCACATATGATTATTGTCACATACATATATTATCATATATTAATATATACCAATAACATATTGTACGGCAATAGCCGTAATTACTATTATAATATTATTACTTCAGTTAATGTTGTTGTAAGCTACTGTCATTCCTGTCTGTCCTGCATCTCTCTCTCTCTCTCTCTCTCTCTCTCTCTCTCGCTCTCTCTCTGTCTCTCTCTGTCTCTCTTCATGTATCATTTTGTATACAGATTACTGTTAATTTATTATGTTGATCTGTTCTGTACGACATCTATTGCACTTCTGTCCATCCTGGAAGAGGGATACCTCCTCAGTTGCTCTTCCTGACGTTTCTACCATTTTTTGGGGGAGGAGTTTTTCCTTATCCGCTGTGAGGGTCCAAAGGACAGAGGGATGTCGTATGCTATAAAGCCCTGTGAGGCAATTGTTATTTGTGATACTGGGCTTTATAAATAAAATTGAATTGAACTGAATTGAATTGAAACAGCTAGCCTGGCTCTGTTACATGCAATGTTGCCAAAATAGTGACTTTTTCATTAGATTTGTTTTGACAGCCACAAAGTTAGCATGTGAGTTTGGGAAGGTTGGTACTCACCTCAGCAAGTCTCTGTGATGTTCATCCTCCCAAACAAACTGGCTGTTCTTGGTGAGCTCAAAGAACTCGCCACGCCTCCTGACAACACACACACACACACACCCACACACAAACATTCACTGACACAGCAGATAGGAATTTAAAAAAGTGACAAAGGAAGAATAAAAAAGAAATAAAAGGATAAAGACAACTTTTTCCTAGGAACATAACTGTTCATGTTGCATGTTATTCAATTGATTTTCTTTCTAAAATGATCCAATAAACAAAACTAAGACAAAATAACCTAATTATAGATGAAATTATGTAAAAATTAACATTTAAAGCAAAGATCTTTTTTTCCAAATACATTTTTTCTCTTCAAAATTTTGTTGCGTGGAAAGCCAATAGGCTCCTTCAGAGCATCTTAGACAAATGTAAGTGCAGGCAAGGGTTTCTGAGGAGGTCAGCAATGTACAGTATTTTCGAGGTATATCATGCTGACACTGTGATAATAGTATAAATTCAAAATATCTACAGGTTGTTCAAATATTAGCAAAATGATGGGTATGTTAATTTCCCAAAACCAAAATTACAACCCACTAACCTCAACATGTTGGCATAAAAACAATGAAATACAATTTGGTTAAAATAAGACAGTTAGAAATTGTCTTTCAATGCATGTGGCCAGTAAATGTCCCATCCTATTGTGCTACTGGAGGCTTTATTTATTTTATATAACAACAGTCTTCGTATAACAACAGGGATCAAATGACTAAGGCCCAATTCCATTTCTTCTTTTTACCCCTACCCTTTGTTTAGGAGTGTCCCTATGGCCCTCGGAACACAGTTACAAGGGGTAGTGACTGAAGTAATCCCATTATTTCTTTAGTATCGTTAGAGATTTGGAAAAGAACATACACCGTAGGTTGGTTGCTGACATATTTGTAACAAGACATGAATTAGTGTTGGCAAGATCAAGGCTAACATTCCTTTGTTTATACTGTCTTTGTAAGGCTATGTACTGCCCCAAAGTAACTTAATTGTTTCACATACATCTTCCCCCCAACAGCACAGAAGTGTCACCAATTAAATATCTGACCAAATATTTCCCCTTCTGTTCCTGAGATATGATATTTAATACTGGCCAGTAAAGTGTTTTATGCAGAACATTATGATGTCACAGTGAAGCTGACCTTTGGGATATAAAATGTGGTCATTTCATTATTTTATCCTATTAGACATTTGTGTGAAGTTTTGTCATAATTAGCATAATTAGCATATGAATTCTTGAGTTATTTTGTGAGGTCACACTAACCTTGACCTTTGACCTTCGACCACAAATTTTAATCAGTGTATTCCTCAGTCCAAGTGGACGTTTGTGTCATATTTAAAGAAATTCCCTTAAGGTGTTCTTGAGATATTGCATTCACGAGAATGAGACAGATGCAAGGTCACAGTGACCTTGGCCTTTAACCACCAAAATCATAGACATAAGTTAATTGTTGAGTCCGAGTGGACGTTTGTGCCAAATTTGAAGAAATTCCCTCAAGCTGTTCTTGAAATACTGTGTTTATGAGAATGAGATGGATGCGAGGTCATAGCAACCTTGACCCTTGACCACCAAAAGTTGATCAGTTCATCATTGAGTCCAACTGAATGTTTGTGCCAAATTTGAAGAAATTCCCCTGAGGCTCTCAAGATATCATGTTCACAAGGATGGGGCATATGGACGGACAACCTGAATACATAATGCCTCCGTCCAACTCTAGAAGGCACAAAAATAAATGTAACTATTACTGCTCTTTACAAGTAAAAACACAATTCCTGTGTTTCACTCTAGGATTTTTAACATTCTTGAGTGACAAGGCGGGTGGGCTCTTTGTTGTATTGTGCTGATTGAATGTCATCACCCCAACTCAAAATACTTCAAAATAGTCTCCCTTCTGTTTCCTCTGCCCAAATGAACTTTTCTTCCGTCCTCCCCCTCTCTACCACTCTTCAGTCAGATTTCCATCTGTGCTTGACATTTGCTACCTACTTCATGTACAGGGCCAGGTCAGTGGCCAGAATAGCTCTCTCGATCATCTTCAGAGTGGCCCTGTACTCGTCTAGGGAGAGACCGCTCAGGATCTGGTTTCCCTGGAGGGAGAGAGAGAGAGAGAGAGAGAGAGAGAGAGAGAGAGAGAGAGAGAGAGAGAGAGAGAGAGAGACAAGGAAAGAATTGTGTAAGTTCAGGAACAGCTCTGTATTTCATTGAATGATTTACATATACAGAGAGTACACTTAAGTTTGACTGTGTATATGTGTTTGTACACAAAGTGAGATAGCAGCCCCCTAAGGAATGATGATGACCACAGTCTGTTCTGTAAGAGACCACCAAGGGGTTGCCATGACAACGCTAACTGGAAAAGCACACACACACACACACACACACACACACACACACACACACACAATCAAACAAATAAATCCAGTCCACATGTCTTGAGTGTTTATAAGCATGGTAGCTGGCACATTATTCTATGTCCCTTCCATTTCAAGAGCTTTTAAGAGTGTGTACGTGCATGAATGCTCTCTTGTGACAGTCCATGCATGCTTGCATTTGTGTGAATGCATTTCCGTCTGAATGTGTCCAGCAGCAGTGGGGTTAAGTAGTGCTGTGGAGTCGGGAGTGTATTTAGAGTTTGTTTAGAGGCCATAAAGATCGGAGCAGGCTGTAAGTCACTATGTTTTATTGGACCATCACAGGGCTGAGGAGTAGGCTAGCAGTTGGAAAATGAGCAGAAAAGGCATAATAAATAAGATGGAGAGATCCAGGATCCTGCAACAAGCAGGAAACAACATTAATTAAGGCCAGTGAACGCCTCTACCACACCATCCTCTCCCTGTGTAGAATCCATTGGCAACGTCAGGCTGAATGATATGAACTGTGGCCCAGTTTGAGAATGGTAATTCTGCCTTATTACAGTTTAATGTGACATACAAATCACTGATAACATTGTTTATATAAAGGTGTACAATGTAAATTCAAGGCTCTTTACAAGGATTAAAGTTACCCTTTCTGTCTGGGTTTAGAGATATCTCTCAGAGACTGCTGCCTCCAACCCAATACAGTTGTCAGTGGTGCAAACAGAATTGAAAAATTCCATGTAAAGAGTAAACACGTATTTGAGACATCGGTGGCTTAGTGGATAGAGCAGGCGCCCCATGTACAAGGCTGTTGCTGCAGCAGCCCGGGTTCGACTCCAGCCTGTGGTCCTTTGCTGCATGTCATTACCCCTCTCTCTCTCCCCCCTTCACGCTTAACTGTCCTATCTATAAAGGCAAAAATGCCCGAAAAAATATCTTAAAAAAGTGAGTGAACATGTATTTGAAACTACCTTATACAATAGGGGTGGGTTTGGGGGGACTTTGATTTGAACCTTTGCTGAGATGGAACACTGGATGTGGTGAACTGTTAGTAGTATCAGTGGGACACTTGCCAGAGGACATGAACTTTTACCCCTACATAAATATATGATCTGTCAGGAACAGCTCTACAACAGCTCCACAACAGCAATGGCAGGTCTCTAAAAATGACTATTTGATTATTTTAGCTGAAAGATTGTGTCAAAGATAGCTGGACTCTGTTTCATAGCAAGACATCGCAGCATTTCCAGTGGTGATTGTGCCACCAAAAGTGGTTTTATTTTATTTTTTAGTAAGACATCGTGGTGTTATCAGCTGCAGTTCCAGCGACACTTGTGGCACCATAACAAGGTATTTAAAGCCAAAACATGACATTTCCTAACCATAACCAAGTGGTTTTAGCACCAAACACAACCACATGTTAACTACAGCATTTATGAAACGTAAAGTTTCACTGTGTCTACCATGTAATAATGCCAACATTCATTCTGGCAATTGGGTTTGGACTCTTTAACTTTAACTCTGTAACCGGAAGAAAGCCTACACCTAACAACAAAACGAAACTTAGAAAGTCAGCTGAAACTTTTCACCTCTGGGGACGGCCAGTGGCTTAGTAGGTAGAGTATCCCATGTACAAAGGCAATGTCCTTGCCGCAGGCTACGGTGTGGCATTTTCTTTATTATGGTGCATACATTTGATTCTTGTTAATGTTCAAGTAAAAATCACAATAATTAGATCCTGCCACTCAGGGTATACTGTAGATCGTCATTGTTTCCCAGTGTACTGTAGCTTTTAACTCAAATGTGTATTAGCATGGGAGTCTACAGTAATTGGAACAAATTAACATACAACATAATTACAAATATTATTAACATGTGTAGGCATGTTCAGGGAACATAGCATGGAGCTATTGTCAGTCCCTGACAATATGAACCCAAAACTTTACATAACCCTCGTATTCAGCTGGGGCCTATAGTGCCTTCTGTGTTTGCAGATTGGTCAGATTTGACTATATTCAATCATATATACACCCTGGACAGCACCTCGATTCACTGAACTGTAAAACCAAAACAGGCAAGCATGCCATAATGCTTGATCCAGATAGTGTCCAAACTTGCCATTTTTAGCATGTAAGTTGTTAGCTCAGAGGTTATTCCCCCATGGCGAAGGGGATTTGGAAATGGTAACATGCAAATAGCTGAAGCAAGGGAGAATGTTGGCCGAAATCAGCAGGCCATTGCAGGCTAAAGCTGAAAACACACTGGTGCCACCATGGTGCGGCACATCATGTAACGCATGTCAAGTGCCACCCCTTGCACACACTGGACATCCCATGCTGCTGCTCATCAACCACGTTATTATTACTTTTACTAAAAGATCTGTACTTCCTCCACCTCCGCATTCTCACCTGAAGAGCCTATCTCTAGAGCTACGATTTGACAATAAGTATCTTTTTGGTCATTGTCTTTATAATGACAGGATTGTGAGTTGTTGAGCTCTAATTATTTCTTGGCCTCAACAATGAGTCTCTCCTCATCCATTCTTCATCACACACAAAACAGAGCAACAACAAAGTTCTTTTTATACATCCATGGTGAGGAGAGGAGTCGAGCTGCCATAGGAGCAGAGAAAAAGAGCTGCTACAGGAGCTGGTATGTATAAGCAGAGAGTGAGTGGGGGAAAAAAGCATTTTAATGCCAGGGGCAGTGAGGATAGAAATACGATGGTGGCATGAAGTGCTATGGGGTGGTGCATCCAGGAACGCCGACACTTGTCTAGCCGCCGTCGGTTTGGGGTTGTACATCAAAAATAAAAGGGCCGTATTTTTTGATTCACGGCATTTGCCGCCAGTGTGTTTTAGCCTTTAAAGCCATAGCCTGCATGTGGTGAGTCAGACTATCATCTGATAGTCCGATGATTAAATTAACCACATTTTAGACAAAGTAAGAAACCATTAAGTGCTAATGTTCTCTGATCTGGTAACTGGTACATGTAGGCAAAGGGATGGTGCAAACAGAGAAATGACGATTTTACTGGAGGGCTTTCTGTGTATATTCAATTTCAATTTCAATTCAATTAAATTTTATTTATAAAGCCCAATATCACAAATCACAATTTGCCTCAGAGGGCTTTACAGCATACAACATCCTTCTGTCCTTGGACCCCACAGTGGGTAAGGAAAAACTCCCCAAAAAAACCCTTTAATGGGGGAAAAAAATGGTAGAAACCTCAGGAAGAGCAACTGAGAAGTGATACCTCTTCCAGTACAGACAGACGTGCATACATATATGTATGAGTGAGTGGACCTACAGAGCTGTTGAGGATCATGAGGCACTGGTCAAAGTGGTGATGCTCCATGGTGGAGTGGCAGTAGAGCTGGGCCAGTGGGTGGTCGCTCCTGGATGCACAAGAGAAATAAGAATCACACATAGGGGATATAGCCTGCTCCCACACATGCAGTACATGTATAATCATATATATATATAATTATATGACTCATGCTGTCCTGCTGTACCTCTGTATGTAGGAGTTGTTGACTCCTCTGTGGTCCAGATCGTGGCAGAGAGTTGCAATCATCAGAGCCAAGATCTCCAGATCGCTAAGGTTATTCTGTCAGGAGATGAATGAGTAGATAAAGTCAAAGGAAAGGATGAGGACAAACACACACAACTGCATCCACACAACAGCAGCTGGTTTAACAGATGATAATCTTTTGCCACAGTCAAACCAAACAAAAGCGTCATATCTTCTGTGTACACACAGTGCTATTGTAACTCTCCACATATTGTTGGCAGTGTGAGCACTGGACAGCAGGACCATTTCTGCATATTCTGCAGCTTTCACACCAGAGCTGAAAGGCTCCAGCACTGTTGACACTGATATTTCCAGATTCTAAGTCTCCAATATGCAGAAATTAATGTTTTTGTGTCAGCGAAACCACCAGTGTGCAGGGTTTTCCAAACTATTTCATTATTGGTGGTGTAGGAAATCATTTGAAACATTTTAACCACCCATTATAGGTCTTGTTTAATTAGTCCATAAGCTACACATCATGTAAATTCAACGTTACTGCCAATCATTTTCCAAAATCAACACAGTCTTACTCTTACCTCGTCACATGTCAGTGTTTAGTCATGGTCTTTCCACACTGAGATATGATGTGCAAGGTACCCTGGGTGCCTTGGTTGTTGATGGTCTGGGACACCATGTCAACTTCAGCCTGTTACATGCATTGTCTGTTTTCAAAATACACTTCTGTTTTCACAGGATATGTACAATTTGCATACAGTCTCTTTCAAAACAAATGCACTACGTCAGTACAACACCGTGAATTGGTGCTTTTTTCTTTCAACAACAAGTGCACATGGTTACTTTGAGCCAACACACACACACACGTGGTTGGGTTTAGGAAAAAAGAACAGGGTTTGGCTTTACAATCACACAGAGAGTAAACCCTCGCCTCCCAGTTGAAAGTCGGTGGTTGTTGGACCCATCCACCACCCCTCCTGCCCGCCCTACTCCGACTGTTACCCCCTTAACTTTTGTTGTTGATCCATGTTTTTTCCCCTGATGCCTCTAGGCACAGTTACACAATAACAGTGACCGACTGTGTATCATGCCGGTGTGAAAGGATGGCTTTTTCAGTGTGTGACACCAGAGGTCACTGACCAATGACTTCGGAGTGAGGCCAGGTTGCCAAAGTTGAAATCAACACTTTTAGGGTTGATGTCCTACATTCTGTGAAGTCAAGTGTTTCAGTAAATTTTACTTCACAATGAAAGCCAACTTGCTGAGATGTATGCCTTTATCCATCCATCCATCCATCCATCCATTCATCCATCTGTCTGCCCCGACGCCTCCCACCAGTTGGACGTGCCTGAACACCTCAAACGGGAGGTGCCCAGGAGGTATTCTGATCTGGCTCCTTTTGATGCAAGTGAGCAGCTACTCTGAGCTCCCTCCAGATCTCTGAGCTCCTCACTCTAAGAGGCCTTTCACATCTGAATGTTTGGTCTGGACTTTTCAGTTTGATCCGAACCAAATTAATATGTGTAAAACCTCTTGCTGACCATGGCCTGGACCAAACAGTCCAAATTTGGTCCAATGAAAAAACATGCACTCATTCAAAATGGTTCAGTTCTTTGCATGGTTTGGACTTTATCATCATTTACAGTAAGTTTCAGTGCTGCTAGAACCGGAGACAAGTGAGGAAAGCCAAAAGTCGAAAAAATTAGCACCTGGGGGGAGGGAGAGATGAAAATTTTAGTTGAAATTTGGTCTGACCTAAAAAACTGACAGAAACGGAGACACTACCCACTTGTTTTGGGAGAGGATAAGGGAGAGAAGTTGAAATATATATATATAAAAAAAGAAGTGTTGACATTCCAAGAGTAGTCACAGTTTTAAACTGGCACCATCATTTACGTTTTTGGCATAAAAGCTAAATCTTAATATGGAATAATAACACTATATATATAGTAAATTGTTCGTGACAGCTCATCTCTTGTAATAGACTATAACTCATTTTACTGTTCATTCCTGAAACGGAGATGCAAAGCATCGCAGGAGTGCTTGTAGCTTTCTAATCCTTTCCTGCTGGCGATGAATTGACTTTCGTGAAAGAACATTCATGTGGTGAATCTGAACCAGCCTCAAGTATTGAGCTTTAAGATGGCAATGTTGGTAATAATGCCACAATAATGAAATTAAAGTAGCAAAGCCCACCAGAAACACAATGCAATGATATCCAATGTACAGCTGTTTACGAACCAATGAATATAAAGTACAGGGAGGCGCAGTGCACCTAGGAGATAATGACAGGACGCGAGTCATTGTGTCTGGTTTAACAAAAGGGATCTTAATCTTTAACAAAGAGGTGGACCTCCTTTCCATAATGTTGTTAGACACTTAGGATAATAGAGTAATAATCCCTTATGAGCCTGTCAGTGGCAAAAACAAGGACTTTTATTGGATGTGAATTAATGGTAGAAAAATAGCCCAGATGTGCTCTCACTCAACACTGTACCATTTAATAAAATATTCTCCCATTAGTCACGGTCCAAGTTACTCTACCATGCAAAATAAGTAGTCCTTTAAAACAAGGATGATAGTAAAACATATGCCTGTCTGTATGAAATTGTAGTTACAGGCGAACGTAACAAATCAGCTCATCTGAAGCAGTGATTGGCTCCACTGACCTGTAAGTGCCCTGACTTGAGGAGGGAGAACATGCTCTGTGCGGTGTTGAAGGCGTGTCTCCAGTTGTGATAAGCCACATTCTTCCTGTAGTTCTTCTTCACACTCAGAACCCACTGGCATAAATTCTACAAAGACAGAAAGAGTAATAAAAGAAGACTGATTCAACCATTGTTAACAACTTTTCTAGGGCTGGATGCATCATGCAAGCACAATATATAATGATACAATAAAGTACTTAAAGCTCTATCTGAACTCAATGTTCCGGTACAATATAGAGCAGGGGTATTAACTAAACTTCTAAGAGGTCCAGTTTGAGAAAATTTCCTTACACAAAGGTCCAGAACCTCATAATGCCTAACATGCGATATGATTTAGTGTGATATATATACTGAAGTAGCCTAGTAGTTGTATCAACATCTACATGTAATCAACATCTGACTGTCAAATCAAATACAGAAAGTAAGATTCAAAAACATTTTGACAATATTAGTGCCACTTAACACTGAACTATACAGATATGCATTAAAAAATAAAATGGAGAAAATAAATGAAATAGTTTTTGAAAAATTGTGCATCTTAAAATACAGTGCTTAATTTTAGAATGAATAAAATAAAGTGTAGAAACAGCTTGAATATTCCTTTTTCTTTGTGAACTGTTTCACATCTTGAAATAAATAACAATTGAACAGTTTTACAGGTTCTCTTTCTTTCCCTCTTTTCCCACCCTCGCCACTTTTTGTTGTTTGTAGAACTGAGCTCGAGCTTGTCCTGCCAGGATTTTAAATCTGGGCTGGAATGATGTCAGGGCCACTCTCATACACATGTGCAGGTGCTCACTGGTGAGCCTGAAATGATATTTAGTTTTTATTATGTTCATTGTGGAGAAAGCTACCTCGCAGCTGTATGTCGAGCCAAACATGGTCAAGATGTACAGCGGTACTTTCCTCAGACCTGGGAAAGCTTCCTCTGTTTCTCTCCCTGTCTCTCGCTCACTTGTCTCCCTCTGTGTTTCTCCCCGTCTCCCCCTCACTCACCTCTCCGTCTGTCTTTGTTTTTCTACATTTCTATCTTTCTATTTTTCTATTGTCTTTCCGCTTGTCACTCGCCTCTCAGGTCTCTCATCTGACTGTATACAGAGTCGCAATGTTAATCGCCTGGAATGCAGAGATGTGATTGGTTGGGTGGCATCACGTGGGATGGCTTAACTCGCATGCAATTGGTCTGTGCATTTCCTGATCAGCTACACCGGTGCTGTAAAGACTAGGAATATTCAAGCTGTTTCTACACTTTTATTCATTCTAAAATTAAGCACTGTATTTTAAGATTCACAATTTTTCAAAAACTATTTCATTTATTTTCTCCATTTTATTTTTTAATGCATATCTGTATAGTTTTTATTATTGTTTTGATTCATTGTGTTATTGTTTGTTTTTATGTCCAATGTTTTAATATTTTGATGTACAGCACTTTCTGCTGTGGTTGTTTTTAAGGTGCTTAAGAAATAAAGCTGGATTGGATTGGATTGCATTAGAAAAGTTGCGCCGGTTAAAATAGAAGCGTCCCGTCAAAATTTAAAATCCCTTAGTAATTTACTGGTTATAGGTCCAGGTCCGTATAGGACAGTTTCTGGGTACGGACCACAGTCCGCCTGTTAGTGATATTATATAGTATATTACAGAGCCTCAAGAATAGGTAACAATGCATGTGTTGCCTTCAGGGCCTGTGTACTGTCTTGGTAAAAGATAAAAGCTCCGATAAAAACTAGCAGTCACGTAATGGCATATAAAAGAGAAGAGCAATGAACACCAAGGTAAAGTGGGATGCTGATTCCTGGAAGTAGACCTGAAAGTAGGACAAACTGTCCCAAACACTGGCTCCATATGTATTTCTCTGATATTACCTACTGGCCCTTGAGTCTTTTTCAAGATCAACTAGGAAGACCAAGGCACTGATATGTTAAATAGGCCATGCCCTTCTCACACACTTGATGGTGGTTACATAGTCATGTGCTACCATTAGGGCGAGGAAAAACAATTAAAACTTGAGACAAAACAGAGACAGAAGCTACAGCCAATCAAATTGCTTGGATGTAAACAAACAAACACAGGACTTTCACTTACCAGACCATTGTTCATGTCCTATGTGAAACCAAAAGTCAAGGTTGACTGAATGCAACTTAGGTCACGTTACGTTGCATCAAAAACATACTTATTTTAAACAATGCCACAGTCTTTTTCCAAACCTAATCATGTGGCTTTAGCAGCTAAACCTGACAAAAGTTCAACTGAAACCCAATGGCCATTTAATGGGCTGATCATGGCCTTCTGTACATATACAGATATATTCACAGATATATCCATATCAGCATATGGGTTTTCCAATATGCATTGATATGAAAGCATTTTTTACAGAACATATACTGCAGTAAAGAAAGCCTGGGGTGATTTAATTATGGTGTAAGTCCATAGTTTGTCCAACAACCAACCAACCAATCAATCAATCATTTAAAACTGTAATAATGACTATATTACGCATATGAATAGGCAGACTTAAGCAGTGTCCTCATTTAGGATCCTTGTGGCCTGAGGGGAAGGGGCTCTTTTTGATCCTCTCAGCACTGTGCTTGTTATCTTCACTATTGTCACTATTGCTGTACCTTTCTATAAAGTAATCTCAAATCTTAATTGTTCAGAATCATTCAGACTTACTGGGTCTCATTCATAAAATGTTAGTAAATCTGTGAGCAGATTTGCACATAAAAAACCTTGGCACTAAAAACCTACACCGGATTCATGAATGCTGCAAACTCAGTTTTGATCATAGGGATGTATGTATGTTCATAAATGCAAATTAACAGAAAGAGAGAGAGATACAGTGAAAGAAAAACTTTTCTGACGCTGAGATTGAATTAATTTTGGATGGGGTTGAGAAACACATTTTATTTTCTTCTGTTAGTAGTGGCATGACTATTTCTTATAATATAATAATTTTATATTATAGCTCTTAAATTTGGCCCATGGCCTAAATTCTTCATTTAAACTGTGTCGTCTGGAGCAACAACATGTGAAGACGTAGTTCTGTAAGCTCTGCATGGGTGGAAAACTTAAATGTTAACTATTACTCTCAATTGAATCCTACATAGTAGATTATTGTATCAAAGGTAAACGGCGCTCTTAAGTTACTGAAACTACAGTTTTTTGACCGAGGTAAACGGTTAAATTGACTGGAAATGCCGAATAATCCAAAAGTGAAACCAGGCCTTGAAGCCCCCGACTCGCCTGACACCGAGACACCAGAAAAACCTGAGACCGATGTCAGCGCAATAATGGCGGCACTAAAGAAGACGGAACAGTGCGTATTAGCCAAGATTGACACATCTCTGGCAGCAGTAGCAGGTGAATTGCATAAGAAGATGGATGACCTGTTTAGCGGCCTGAGAGCAGAGATCACCGATGTTCGCACTGAACTGTCTAAAGCAATCGAAGAGATTCAAAAAGAAAACGCAGCGTGTGGCTCGGATTGAAAATCTGGAGGAAGGAGCTAATGGCTACTCTGACTGAGTGGTGGAACTTGAGAATAAAGTTTCTTCCCTCACTTCGGAAGTTACCCGGCTGATTTCCAAGACCGAAGACCTGGAATGCCGACAGCGGAGAGAGAACTGCAGGTTAATTGGTGTGGAGGAAGGCTTCGGGAACATGAGACCGGAGGAAGCTGTGGCCAAGCTGCTACAAGATTCACTGGGCTTAAGCTATACTCCAATGCTTGACCGGCTGCATAGGAGCCTGCAACCGAGACCAAAAGATGGAAACTCCCCGAGGCCGATAATCATTAAATTCCACTATTTCCAGGAGAAGGTGGACGTCCTTCGCAAGGCCATGAGCGCGGGACCCATTTTCCACAATGGCAGGCGCTTCCATATCTATCTGGACTACAGTAAACGGAGAGCCGGAGCCCCGGTGTGAAATACGGTATTCTGTATCCAGCCACACTTAAGATCACAACGCCAGCAGGTGAGCAAAAATCCTTCGAAGATCTGACCAAAGCAAAGCAGTATATTGAAGCCAACCAACAACCCGAGAGGCAAGAAGAGAGTAATGGTTAGTAAAATTTGGGACTTTTTATTTGACTACGGTGTACGCTGCATGTATACCGTGGCTGACAGCGTGAAGCCTGCCGGCTGGCGCACTTCATCACTGCAGCTTGGAGCGTACTTGACAATAGACGTGACCCTGGGACAGCCAAAAACCACGTATCAGCCGTTATAGGTGTAATAAGCGTGAGTAAGAGATATTATGCTGAACTATTTACCCATATAATGCTATAGACTATATTACAGAGGTGGACTGGCTCTTTAGCCAGTTTTTTGCTTCACCTGAGTGGTGTGACGTGACTGAGAGGAGGTCCTATCTGTTTATGTTTATTTTGAAACATGGGTACTTTTGTGAAATAAGTATGACAGTTATGTGAAACAATTTTTATCCTCCATCCTATTTTATTAACCAAGTCTTTGTTTTTATTTTTTCATTTTTAATTGATGAGGAGAGATATATTATCATTACCCTGGTTATGGTTATTATTATTTATTTATCTATTTGATTTCTTGTTCCCTAGGAAAATGCCTCCAACTGTAACATGTCAGCCTGTGTTTATTTATTACTCTGTAAACATGCAGCAAGGGTAGTAGTGTTGTTGAAGGAACCCCATTCACTGATTTTCATTCCATGCATGGTTCTTTTGAGAGGAGAGAACGGTTCTGACGTGTTACATGCTTAAAAGAGGGACAAGTGTTCATAGGGCAGTCTTAGGTTCGAAGAAGACCATCCCAGGGATCCAGGATGACAAGGGGTTATTTCTGTTTATGCTCTGTGTATTTGTTTTTGTTTCACTGATGTTTGTTTGTCTTTTTATGATTCAGTTTAATACAGTATACAACCAGATGTTGTCAATGTGCAAGACTGCTCTACAACTTAAAGTCACAAAGAAATGGTTCCTAGAATAGTAGGTAAACAGCAAGGTGCATTTTCTTTCATCAGTTGGAATGTCAAAGGCTTGAATAATTTAGTCAAATGAAGCAAAATATTCGCTCACTTAAAATCACTCCATCCGGACATTACATTTTTACAAG